CTGTTGCAAATCATTCACTCACAATCTTAGGTTTTGCGAATGAAACAGCTTTGGATCTGCTGCAAAATGTAGGAGTTGAAGCGATTATCGGAGGATTAGGGATGATGGGTGAAGGGTTTGTTTGTGATGGATCAGCTACAGAAGCTCAAGGATTGCAACTCATCTCTTCACATGTGCAGGGAGATTAGGGATGATGGGTGAAGGGTTTGTTTGGATCCTCACTGCCAARAGCATCAACAGTTTCCATGAGAACACTGATGATTTTGTAAAGGAGGCAATGGAAGGTGTGGTTGGTTTCAAGTCTTACATTCCAATGTCTAAAGAGCTTCATGATTTCACTTGGAGATGGATAAAATCACTGCCTGTTGAAGAAAATGTTGGATTAGCAGAGATGACTCGGTTAAGCATCTCTGGCGTATGGGCTCATGATATCGCTTGTGCTCTTGCGAGAGCAGCGGAAGTAGTTGCTAGTATGTCGAGTGTATCATCAACTCTCCTTGAGGCAATCACAGAGACTAGTTTTAAGGGTTTGAGTGGCGACTTCCAGTTAGTCGATAAGAAGTTGTTGTCGAACAAGTTTGAGATAGTGAATATGGTAGGATCAGGTGAGAGAGGGGTAGGATTTTGGAATTCTAATGGTAGTTTCAGCAATAGAAGACATCTATCTTCTACACATAACGAGCTGGATACCATAATTTGGCCCGGTGGGTCAGCTCAAAGTCCGAAATGGCGCAATGAAAGAGAAGGCAAGAGCAAAAAGCTGAGGGTTTTGGTTACATCAAGCAACAGATTTCCAAGATTGATGAAGGTGGAGACTAATCCAGAAACAAATAGAACCGAGGCTGAGGGGTTCTGTATAGAAGTCTTTCTTGCTTCCATTGCATGGAGTACATACGTTGGCTCAATGGGAGTGACTATGACAATCTTGCATATGCACTTTATACCCAGGTACTGCTCAGTCAAAAGACTATTTAAAAGAATATATATGTGTAGAGTGTGTGGAAACTGAACCAATTCCTTTGAAATTTCCACAGAAAGACAAATATGATGCAGCGGTGGGAGATACTACAATCACTCCGAATAGAATGAAGTATGCTGATTTTACGATACCATTCACTGAAATGGGTCTTGGAATTGTTGCTCCAAAGGAGACAAGTATGTGGGTGTTCTTCAGACCTCTAACACCAGATCTTTGGATAACAAGTGCAGCTTTCTTTGCCTTGACGGGCATTATAGTTTGGCTCATAGAAAGATCTGAGAACACCGAGTTCCAGGGATCTTGGTCCCAGCAGATTGGAGTTATGCTATGGTATGGCTTCTCTACCCTCGTTTATGCTCACAGTAAGTGCGACTTTATCACATTCTTATATGCCAATCTTGGTTTGATCAGAAACTGGAATGATGCTTTAATTAGTTTTAACCTTTTGCTGCCTACTATTTGTTACAGGGGAGAGGCTAAAACACAACTTATCTAGATTTGTAGTTACGGTTTGGGTATTTGCAGTGCTCATATTGACTACAAGTTACAATGCAACATTGACATCAATAATGACGGTGCAAGAGATACGACTCAACTCAAACAAAGACTACGTGGGTCACCTTTCGGGCTCCCTCATCGCAAGTGCAGTCCTCACCAATTCCAGCCTACGAGTAGAGAGATACAAGGGTCTCAATACTTGTAAAATTTGTTGAACAAAACTGTCTCATATGTTGTCGATGAGATTCCATACCTCAAAGTCCTCCTTGGCGAGTATCCTGCACATGTTGGCATGGTCAAGACACAATGTACCACCAATGGTTTCGGCTTTGTATGTATCCTTCATCATCATCATTTCCCTTACTCCTCATCTTCTTTTTATTTGCTGACAAAATTGTTGGTTTGTTAAACTATGTGTCAGATGTTCCAAAAGGGCCATGAGTTGGTGTCGCACGTGTCACGGGAAATATCCATTTTAAGGACGAGCGAGAGGCTAAACGAGATGGAGAAAAGATGGTTTAATAAGCAATTCCCATACGCAACCGGTGATACGGCAGATCCTAAATCCCTTTACATGTTCCGCGGATTGTTTATGGTCACTGGAGTTTCTTTCGCTTTCGCTATTACAGTACTTGTCCGAGACAAATGGAAAGTTCTTGTGAACTCAGACATTTCAAGATCCTCCTCGCAGAAACTTTCCTTTCAAATCGCATCGATGATGCCATTGGCGAGAATATGGTTCAAATGGCTCAACATAACTAACAAATAGAAACTGATTCACACGGAGCAAAAGTTCAATTGTTATCGTGCTTTAGTCTAACTGTTGTGACCAATCGCCCTCGCAGAACCTCTAGAGAGGTCCACTGGTTATCGATCCAAACCGGCTTACGTCTAGAGAAATATGAAGAATCTATAGACCCATCAAATCTTTGCTTGTAAATTGTAAATATGATTCGAATCAGAACCATTTTCTTTTCCACAGTGTACTGCATCTGATCAATCTGTGGCTAATTCTCCTCCAAAATATCCATTCCTTAAGTTTTTTTTTTTTTTGCTAAATATCCATTTCTTAAATTGGGTGTGAACAAATATCATAACTCTTGATCAATGTGTGGTTACTATCTTAGATTGGGTGTGAACTTTTTAATTCGTCGTATTTTTCTCATTTAGTCTAACTTGACAATCTCTCCATCAAGTACCCAAGTTTCCACAAAATCATAAAAACCCAAGATTGTATCATCATAGCAATGGCTAGCACCATACACAAGATCCAAAACCGATGTAAACCCCTCTAACAACCGGTTAAGACTGAACGGATCTACGTGCTAAGGAGAGTCTAGTAATAAATAAGAAGATGGATCGTCGAATTCAAACACAAGGTGGCATGAATTTGAAGCCCTGACCACAACATACAATTCGTTGAGCATCTTACGTCTCTCTTCCAACTTGTTGAGCTCTTCCAACTTGCTGAGCTCTTCTGATTCAACGGGACATGTGGAGAAAGTTGCCTGCTTCAATTGTCTTGCGTTCTTTAGTATGTACGTAGCCACTTCTTTCTCTTCTTCTCTTCCCCAATCGTATCTTGTCCACACAAACGTCTCTAGATGTGACAGCAAACATTCAGGGACACACTTTGGCTCATTCCATTTCCCTCCGACCACGCCATTTTTATGAAAATTCAGATATCGCTGGGACCGGGGGACATCAATGTTCCATATCATTACTAGACCATAAAATATAACCCCAAAGAGAAGACCATACAAGAAAGTAGCTAGCTGAATAATAATGAAATGAATGTCTTACATCAACGAGCTTGAGGACTTGTAGTTTAGGAAAATTTTCGAGCATGGGCGTAAGTAGATTCCACCACTTGTTTTCACGTGTATACATCTCGAGATACACCAGTTGATAGAAGATAGTTCCGGTAGGATATGTAATCTATCCATGAGACAAATTATTAGTATATAGTGAAACAATAATGTGATAATAAAGAAGTCAATCCGCGATAAACAAAAACCCGAGCATAGAAGAATTCGCAATATCTGCTTCCACGATCTCCGGCGCATTCAGATAAAACACTTTACATCTCAATGCTTCAATTCGTAAGTATTTCAAAGAAGGAGTCTTTATCATATATCCCCAAAACTCATCTCCACCATTGTCATCATTAATCGTTAATCGCTGCAAAGAAGGGACCTCAGTCTTAAGATCAGTATCATCATCACCTCTTACCACTTCCAAGTCTCCGAGATTAGGACAACCAGATAAAAGGTTTCGAATAGACGCTTTGTCGTTGTGGACAAGTATAAGATGCAGATTCCTAAGAGACTTCATTAGAACCGAAGAAGAGATATCTAAATTCATAAGCGAGAGTTTCAAAGTCTCAAGTGTCTTACAAGTACACAAGCTACTTGGAAATGTGAAGCGCCCATCATCTTCAAGAAGAAATTCGAGTTTCAATTCACGCAAATTTCGAGCAAATGCAAGTCCAACCCAGAGTCCAATATCTACAGGAGTATCTTTATCTAATCCAAATCTGAGATGAAACCTCTCTAGAACTGGAGCTTTGTGTGAAAGGAAAGACTTGCAAACAATCTCTGCAAATGTTTGGTGTTTTCTTATGAAATCCATAGCATCGAACTCGAGACTTGGAACCAATTTCCAAAGAGATTTCCAACGTTTAGACAACACACTTGTTGCTACGACAGTTTTTGTTGGAAGTGATGATAATATTTGCAGAATCAAAGCTTCAGGCAACTGATTGATCCTGTCCTCACCTCCATTTCTTCGACAACTTTTCACAGCCAAAACAAAATCGAAGAAGAAGAAAAATATCAAGATTTTATGCATTTCCAGTGGTATCAGAGATTTCCAACGATCGTAAACATAATAAGAACCTTACCATTTCTCCATTGTCGTTAACAGAGACCAACAATTGCGTTGCTGGTAAAACCCTCAGATTTGTGCCATTTCCCAGTGGAATTATCGCAGTCTCAAAACGTTATAAACGCAAACGCAATAAGCAGACGGTGGTCGATGGGGAAGCAAAATTAAACGGCCGATTTTTAGGGTTTTGAAGAAGCGGCGGAGACAAATTTTGCTTTTTAAGATGATGATGATGTGTGTCTGTGATTATGACATTTTTCCAAATCACAAAATAGATTTGTAACCAAGTACTGTATGTTTTGTCACCTTGAATAGTGTTTCTTTTTTGTTACATGAGACGCACACAAATGAGATCTCGGTTTAGAGATTTTCCGGTTCATGACATTGAACCAGATTAGAAGATCTTAATTGGAAAATGGAAATTAAGGACTTGTTAAATTGATAGATTGATAATGTTGGTGGCCTTACCGTAAATGTCTTCAACGGGTATCAATCTAAAACGAAGCTTTATCCATCATTCATAAGCTTCCCAAAATGGGTTTTGTTATTTAACAGAGAGAGAGACGACAATACATGAGTTTATGGTAAGTCATTACCATATCCAATACGATGTGATCTCTCTAATCATTTTTAATTTTTTTTTTAAT